GACTAGATGGAAAGGGAAGTCCCCTCCTCTCTCTACTGCTGAGGAACATATGCAGCTCCCACATACTTTCTCATGTGAAGAGCAATGAACGAAGAGAGACGTACAAGAAATAGGAACTGTTCTCAATCGCAGATGGGTATGTATACTGTGTTTTAATGCTGTAACAACAAGGTAAGAGATAACAGTCATCTTCTGATCACAGGTCACAAACTTATTTTCTGAATTGGTATTATGTGGCTATAAGGGCAGGTACTACCCGAGCTACGCTGGAGACTGCCTCTCTACTAATCTACTGGATTTGTTTAATTCTGAATGTAATATATTTATATGGTAATACGTAACCATACCTGGTAACAGTTTTAAAAGTTTTTTTTGTTACTGAATTTGACAGGGCTGGAAGGTTATTCTTTTGAGAAACAAAAGGCAACATGACTTGGTAATCATCTTGCCGAATTTCCAAACACTTGGTATGCGTTCCTTCTATATTTTAGCAAAACACACGAATGATAGATGTGTCCTTCTGAGGATTTGTTTATGACAGTTGTTTATACTTGATTATTTCATGTTCATCGCTTCCTTTTACAAAGCCCCTGCTGGTTACATTGCTTAGTATATTTTGAGACATCGTACACAAATGAATAAAACTCTGGCAGAACTTGGCTAAGCAAATACACTTCCGCTCACTGAAACAGAAGCTCGTGCTTTAAAATGCCAAACAGCTCAGCAACAATAAGTGGCTAACAAGTCCCCAGGTAGCTAATATTAAAAAAATAAAAATCTATGTCATCTCGAAAACAAAGAAGCCACATCGTAAATCATCACCCAAACTGATGGTTACAAATGCTTCTGGAGCTGAACAACAGCTTCAATGATCATCCACAAAAGAGTTAAGGAAGTAATCAGAATGCGATGGCAGCATTTCCACAAGGAATATCAATTTCATACAACTGATGGCAGCTCTGTGATAGAAATGTGACAGACATTTGATTACAAAAAGAAAAAAGCCTAGTACTGGTAACGCTAAAGAAACAACAATGAGTTTTTAACTCTCATTAAGTTTTAATAAAATGAAATAAAAATGCATTAGTAATGATGCTGGTGTGATTGGAAGTTGAACTAATCAGCAGTGCTCTAATGGATACACACCTTTCTAAAGGCTGGCACTAATGCTACTATGTGAGTATTTGAATTTCATCCTGGCTGCCCAACACTGAAATCCTGAGTACCCAAGACAGACAGTCTAATTCTCACTGAGACTATACACTTGTATAAAACAAAATAAAGAAAAATGAGGAAACCTAGGAAATTAATGGCATATAAATAAAAATGTAATTCATGAATAAAACATGCCACAAAATTTTCCAACTCTAATTATAAAAGTCTATTTTCTGTTTTATTTTAACTTAACAAATTATTTATAGGTTTCCATATACTAAAGAATAATCCTCGTTTATTATGTTCCAGCATAACTCTCTTTTAAATAAATTTGAAATTCATGAGAGCAGAATGTACATATGATTGACATCAACAGTAATACACCTCAGTCTCTCCAATAGCGGAGAATGGTACTAATATAGCTGTTAACTTCAAGCTCTGAAGTGTAGCTTTGTTGCTCATTTCTCTAGTGCTAGAAGTCTTAATAGTTAGTGAAGATGAATTCTGTCAGTTTGATTCTTTGAGAAGTATTTCACATGTATCTCCTCGCTGAAGACAAGGGGCTCTGTGCGTACTCTGGAAATGGCAATACTCCCAAACAAGGGTGCTAAATCACTGTAAACCTACCCAACACTTGGGAAAGGAACCTCTTACGCATCAGCTAAGATTTTTTTCAACACAGAGTGCTTAAAAAATATATGTATAAATTCATTTGCAATGATATGAATTCAAACAGCATGTATTTCCTGCATTGCTGAAACAGAACCAATAGACAACTATCACTTCACCTTAAAACTACATGTTCAGAGCTGTAACACAATGGAAAGCACAACAATGATAGCAGAGCAGCAAAATCCAAGGCTGCAGCAAGCGAGGACTTGTTCAACTGCAGCAGCCATGGATACAGAAACAACACAAAATCTGCTTACCTTCAGAAGACCTTGAATACACACAGGGATCCCCAGCAAAATACCCTTGCCTCTATATTGCCAGACCTTAAATGAGTTCTGGGAAGGGGTGCATCCTGGCTCCACCCCTTCAGGTCACTCAGGTACACTGCACACACCTGAGCTCCCCTGGGTTGGCCATTGCCTTCCCACCAGGTGCTCCATCACTTGTTGAAGATGTGACTTGGCATTTATGCTATAGTGGACCATATTAATTCATGTTCACTTGTGTTTCAAAGTCATTTTGGTCTATGAAGTTATTTCAGAGCAGAATTGGTTCTTAACAATGGAAGCTTGGTACAACAAAGACAGAACATCCTCAGTTCTATTAAGAGACAGTAGTGAAAAAAGTATTGCCTAAAATCACAACAGAAGAAAAGAACCTCATAGATTGGAGAAGTTCCTATTTTTGATCAAAACACAGAATCATTTCTGAAACATGAAGTTAAAGGAGATTTTCAGTAAAAACCATCGAGAGTGGAAATCACAGTAATTAACCTGGTCCAGTGCTTAAATATCCTAATTTCCTTTGCCGCAGTTTCGACACGCTTGTGTCATCTCCATCAAAAATAATGGAATTTTTTTTTCTTGATGGCAAATGTTTTCTCATTTACTAAACACAAGTATTTTAAACACAAATAATTCAGCCTTTCCTGATAGAGCTTGTATGTTCATATTTTTAACCTCTGATCATCCTAGTTGCTTCTCAGTACATATATTTTTTCCTTTTATTGGTCTTGCACAATATTCCAGTTAAGCAGGACACAATGATTGTCTGACCTCTCATTTCTATTTACGTGCCCTAGTAAAGTGCTGGCAGTTCTTAAAGTTGTTTGAGCACTTGAGCACTGCTCACTCATTTATTTTGTCCTGAATTGGTAGAAAAAACATTTTTCCTATAGAGTGTTAAAATACCATAAGCCTCAGATTTATGGTTAAGAAAAAAGGTATCTACTTGTGATTCACTTCTTACAATAGCTTTCTAAAAGTGTGCAAGACAATGTATTTCTTAGACATTTTCCTGGGAATTATATTTACTTACATATATACAGCATGGCTTTGTGTAAAAGCTATCACCAGAGAAGGCTATCCAAGTTCATAACCTTTTTACATTTCTTGCATAGGTTCAGACTAGTATACCAGTTCCCTGGGATATCACGAGAAATCAAAGACAGCAAGGTTGAAAATATTTATTAGGTTTTCTAGTCTAATGTTTGATGCTCTTCTAATGTAAGATTAATTGGAACTAGCCTACAGTGACTGATGTGTGAGTATACTCGTGATAAGAAATGTAACTACAGCAAGGCTTGAGTCCTGAATAAAGGTAACCATAAAAATATACAATGGCTTGGAAGGGACCTTAAAGCCCATCCAGCTCCACCCCCAGCTCAGGCTGCCCAGAACCCCATCCAACCTGGCTTTGAGTGCCTCCAGGCATGGGGCACCCACAGCCTCTCTGGGCAGCTGTGCCACTGCCTCGTCACCCTCTGAGTAAAAAATTTCTGCCTAATGTCTGACCTAAATTGCTTGTACATAATATTAGAATTACAGAATGGCCTAGGTTCAAAAGGACCACAATGATCATCGAGTTTCAACCCCCCTGCTATGTGCAGGGTTGCCAACCA